TGAGCTTTTAGGAGTGTATTGTGGCAAAAAAAGGAGGAATTATGTTGTGGTAAAAAAGGAGGAATTGTGTATTTCTATACTCTTTCTCAATGTTGACGGTTCTTAATAACATGCACAGCTTAAATTCCATCCTACTTATGAAAAGATAAAGGTCTTAGATCAGTTTCTCCAGTTATCAGGAATTCTAGAACTATTGTCTCTTCTGCCAATAATCTCCATCTTTCTGTGAATATATTCCCCCTTTTCCTCTCTCCTCCCAGTGTCCATAATTCTTAGAAGATTCTTTGACCAGCACATCCAGCTTTTTCTTGCTTGCATCAGCTATAAGGTTCCAGACATCAAAGATCTCAGCAAAACACAAACTGTAAAGAGTAAAGTGGAGATGAAAGACCCAGGAAATAAAACTGGGAAGAGAGAAGAGTACAAAAGGTCTCTTTTATAACAAATAACAAAGGAGGAAAGGAGAGGGGGTTGACAGAGAAAAGAAAAACCACACTGATTACTCTAAACATTTATATAAAGCACTTGTACAACATGCATTATAATATTTGAATCAATACTGACATTAGATCCGTTTTTGTTTTTTTTTTTTCTTTTTAAACTAATGGCACACTGCAAAGGGAAAGAGAAGCCCCAAATGCTTTGGTCAGGTGCCAAGTCCTGCCCTCTGTACGTGTCACTAGCCATTCACACTCTTGTGCTATTTTAGTAGGTCACTGAAAATGCATTCTAAAAGCAGATTTGATCTGGCAGGGATGGGTTCTCAGAAAACTTGTGTCATAGTTCTGTAAATCTGGGCACTCAAGCACCAAGGCTGCTTTCCAGGCTAGGCTAGTGGGGGATACTGCAGTGACAGAAAGTAAAAGACAAAAGTCTTCAGCACTTTTTCAGGATTAGGCACACTCTCCACTCCCTATAGTCCTGCTTTACTAGAGGCAGAAACTGATCAAGAAAGAGTGGCTTCTACCCTCTCAGTCTCATTATTTTACCATGATGCCTTGTGCCACATAAAGGACTGTTGTTAAAAAAAACATGGTTACATCTATGCCAAGTTAATAAACATTATATAATCAAGGAAAAAGCTCTAATTTTTGTATCTCATTTTACTGGGAATATAATTTTCCCTTTGTTTCAATATACCATGAAGACACCGGTTAATTTTTAAAGTATTTAAAACTGAAAATGGTTTAAAATTATATTAATGCAAGTAGGCTTTATATAATACATACACAAGAAGGTGGGGGAAGGAGGAGAGAGAAGAAATCTGCGGTTTTGAGTTAATATTCATATAAAAACTTGGTCACCTAAATAACTTCATTAATTTAGTAAGTGAATGGAAATTACATATTCCCTAGTGCATACTGCACACATCACTGCCATCAGAATTGTTATGAGACTATTCTAAGCTCATGAAATATCTCTAGAATGTTCCACATGTCTTCCCATCAGCTATTACTTAATGTTTGGCCACTTCCTTGTCAATATTCTTTTACCTCTGATGAGGTACAGGCCAATAACAACAAATTGTGGGTGCTCAACAATTTACATGGTTAATTTTATTAACCTTTAAGTGAGCTTCTAAAAATAAGATGTACAGTTTTTTGAGATCCACATCGATATAGTTAACACTTACCTAGTATAATGTGCCAACCACTGCTATAAGCATGTTACATATAATAATCTTTAAAGCAAGCCTATGAAGTGAGTACAGACAACTCAGGAAGGGCACCGGGAACAAGGGAGTTCACTTAGCCATTACTCAGCAATGATCAGTTTTTATCTAAAATGTCCACATGTAACCAGAAGAGTAAACACACATTAAAACAAAAATAAATTTCCTACCACTAATATTTTTTCCACATGTAATAATATTGGCTGCCCATCTATAGAAGAGAAATTCTCTTAGTTTCTGATTCATGTTCCCCAAATTGGTTTATATTTTATCTGCTAGTAAAGTTCAAAGGGAAGAATAAATTCTTTTCTTTCAGAAGAAAGCACTGCTAACTTGTTGACCTTGACACCAAGATGCAGAGGGTTAAATTACACCACAAAAATCTAAATGGCGACCATTCTTTCTGTGTTAACATTTCACTACCACTATCCACAAAGTTTCCAAAAAGGCTGAAAAGTAAAATGGGGTGAGGGTCGAAAGCTGCAAAGTATAGTAAGTTTTTCCTTTTGAAGAAAAGCTAAAGAAACCATACTGGCACTGGACCCGCCCAAAAAAGATGTGAAAACTTATATAATAACGCAGAGACTTAAAGAACCAATTAGAACACAGCTACATGAGGTTCTGTGAGAAACAGTAAATTATAGGATACCACAAAAAAGCACTACTGTTTTCATTTTAGCTCATATGAGGGCTTGGACACCCACAGGATTGTATTTTGTAGAAAGCTATTTAGCAAATGCTAAAATGGAGATAAAAATAGGTGTTGCTCTTACGTTAGTTAACAAAAATCAATTCGTAAGCATATAACTGGCCTAAAGTCTATCTGCCTTCAGAGAGAAGATTCGAGAAGGGTAAGTTCACGTAACCTCCAGGTTAACTTGTGCAGACCTTTGCCAGTTCTCACTTGATGTATGCACTAGCTCTCTTATAATACTCTGGCTTCAACCCTCCAATTCAACCTTTGTATTGATATTAATCACACCTAAATAACAGAGAAACTTCAACTGTCCGGTTCCTTGCAGGACAAAGTCCAAACTCCCTAGCAACACATATATCCCCTCTGTGCCTTTTCCAGACATACTCCCAAATGTGCTACTCGTTAGGAGGTGGCTCCCTTCACAACCCCTATCCTGCCCCTTACCAAACAGCAGCCCTTAGGCACCTTCACCCAACCCTGTGGTGCGAAAAACCCAAACCCACTCCAAGTGTCTTGGTGTCTGCTCGTGCAGGTCTCACTTCCTTCAAATGCCATGCAGTTCCTTGCTCTGTGTACTCATAGCATATGTTTCTTCATCCAGCTGCCTTTCCCTCTATTTCGCAGGTTCTTCTGCCTGATTAAATGCATCCTGTAGGACTCAGTCTTACATCTTTCTGGGAGCTTTCCCAACACCCTTACCCTTGGATGGATCAGAAGCTCTTTGATGCTGTACCCTATTCTCCCACTGGACTAATGATTGAACTGCTTTATCATTTTCTAGCTGAGTGACCTTGGACAAGTTCATTCATTTCACTGACCCCATTTCTTCATATATATATATATGTATAATAGCATTTATCCGTTATCACTGTAAAATGATGAATGCCAAAAATCCCTTTATGAACAGTGAAGTACCATGCAAGCATTAATCATTGTATCATAAACCAAAAGATCATACGGTATTCTAGGTTAATGTATTGTGGTTTAATCTAAGGGTAGGATTAAGCTCTTATTTCCAGTTTCCTCTTCAGAAATGCCCTGCATTTTAATCCAACTTTCTAGATCCACTAAGTCCTTGTGCTTTTACATTCAGGGGGAAAAAAAAAAAATCTGTGATGACGTTTAAGTCATCTGAAGAAAACACTAAGTGGGAAGCTCCTGAAGGGTAAGGATTTTCCTTTTTCCTACTTTTCCTAGTGCCTTCACAAGAGTACTGTTACATACATACAAATACATGTGAAAGAACTGAATGAAGGAATATAAACGTGCCCTGTGGTTAGTGAGCTTATAATCAAAAGCAGTGAGTGATGTAACAGATCTCACCTGAATCTGACCTTATGAAAATGGTCATAAATGCCGTTGGTGTCATTTTAAAGTGCAGTGAGAAGTTAAATTTCCTGCTATGCTCTTTTAATGTGGTGATCTGACACATGTTGGAATTGCTATCTTAGTAACTCATGCTTACCATTTGAACGTTTTAACATGATCAGAATCACTGATGCAATTTAATACCTAGTTATTGAATATCTACTGCACCAGGCCCGATCAGAGCACAAAGACACAGGTGAGGGACTCTGCCCATGAGCTGCTAAACGTAGAAAGGAAGATAAGATAGACCATATGATAGGCCACAAATCAAGTCTCAATAAATTTTTTAAAAAAGGAAGCTAAGTCATCAATACATGCAATTAACCCAAGGCAGAGTGTGGTATGGGTAGTGACGATGAACTAAGACGACATGAGTTAGGGTATTGGGCCCATAAAAATTAAAGCTGTATATTACAAGTTACTGGGAATCAATAGCTTGCTGCTACTGAACACTGTATATGACATGTGTAATATCTGCCGCATGCAAAGGCAGCTATTTCTAATCGCCTTCCTCCTTACTCTAATTATAAAGCCAATTGTGTTGTCGTCTAATCAATGTTGTTAACACTCATATCACACACAGGAGCCCAGCGAAGTTACAAGTCCTTCAGGTATATCTTCTTTCTCATTTGCTTTCCACAACAACCCTATGAGGCAGGTACAATTCTCCCGTTTACAGAGAAGACGACGAGGCACAGAACCGGTCATTTTTCAAGGTTAAGATGCAAGAACAAAAATGTGTAAATGAGGACCTAGGAGACAAAAAACGAGTATTCCACGGAGTGATGGGACCCGCCAGTCAGCAGTGTTTCTCGCCGCGCCTCCCACCTCTCCCGAGGGCAACCCGCGGGAACACCCTCTCTTTTTCCTAACCCGCCAGGGAGTCACATCTTTCCCCGAGTCCACAGATGAACGGCTGGTTCTGGGGCAGACGCTCTCGAACCTTCCCGCTGCGGAGGACGCGCGGCTCTTAACTCCTCGGCGGTTCGGGGTAAACGAGACCGAATCAGATCCCGGGGGGACAAAGGCGGCAGGCCCACGACAGCGAGCCTTTCGGGCTGGGGTCCGTCCCGTGTCGCTTCCAGGGGACGGCAGCGGGGCCGGCTCACCGCGGAGGAGCAGCCCCGGCGGCATCACCCCCGACCGGGCCGCCGGGGAGTTGCCACCTGCTCGTGCACCCTGCCCTTCACCCGCGCCCGCCTCCCCGCGGCGGCCACGTCCACCCGGGGGCCCGTCGCCCGGCCCGCCCCGGCGGTCACTCACGGTTCCAGTACACCGGGTAGCACTCTCCTTGGGTCACATCCACCTCGTAGAGCCCGCCCCGCACGCACACCGGCTCGACGGCCACCAGCTCCACCATC